CACAGGACACTAGAGTTGGAAGGGGGCTTAGAAACCATCTTATAAAACTCCAGTCTTACAAGCATCCCTTCTACTTGAGACGTCCTTGTAGCAGGAAACTCACTACTTCACATGGCAGTCCATTTTCAGACAGTGCTCATTATTATGGGAGGGGAATAAGAGAATAAACATCTTTATAGCACCAGCTCTGTGCCAGGCACCATGTGAAGCACTTGTATTTATTTGACAAAGATTATGTCATTTGATGCTCACAATGATAACGGAAGGTAGGTGCTATTATTATCCCCATTTTACAGTTGAGGAAACTGAGGTAAACAGAGTTAAGTGACTTGCCCTGAGTCACACATCTAGTGACTGAGGCTACATTTAAATTTGGGTCTTCCTGACTCTATTCACTGGACCACCTAGCTGCCACTGTTAAAAGTAACTTTCATCCACTAGGATACTAATTGTGATTGAGGTGTTTCAAGCTAGAAAGGACTGTAGAGGTCATTTAACAGATGAGCAACCTGATGGTGAGGACTTAGTATCATAGGCTCATAGATTTGGAACTGGGAGGATCCTTAGAAGGTCATTTAGTCCAAGTTTCATTTTACAGATGGGTAGACAGAGGCCCAGAGAGGCACCAGAACTTACAACAAGGTCACACAAGTGGTAAATGACAAATCCAGGATTTGAACCCAGGAGCTCTGACTTGCCCTGCAACAGATAGCAACATCAGTATTCGAAATCAGATTCTGTGATTCCAATCCATCCTCCTTTCCACCAGGTCACACTGCTTCATCTGCCCTCTGGGGACAAGAAGAATTAGTCTAGAATCCCAGAATGTCAGAGTTGGAAGGGACCCAGTGGCCAGATATCCTAACCCATACCGAAAAAAAGAATCCTATCCAACAAATGCTCACCCAGCCTTTGCTTGAAGTCCTCAAATGGAGTGGAATCTATTATCTCTTCAAGAAAGAACCCCATTCCACTTTTGTATAGCTCTAATTCTTGGGAAGTTTTTCTTCATATCAAACTTAAATGTGTCTTTTTGCAGCTGTGTCTATTACCAATTTGACCTGTTTGGTCCCTGGGCAAAACAGAGCAAATCTAATAATACCTGTCCCACACGACAGCCCTTCAAATATTTGACAGTAGCTCTCATTTCTTACCCTGCCCCCCATCTCTACCTCCCACCCCAGTCTCTCCTTTTCTAGGTTAAACATCTATGATTCCTTCAACCAGTCCATGCAAGGCCTTCACCATTCTTGTTCCTTTCCCCTGGATGGTCTCTAGCTCAGCAATGTCCTTCCTATACTATGGTAGACCAAACCAAACACAGTACTCCAGTATGATCTGACTAGGGCAGGGTATCTATTTATTCATGGAAGCTATGCTTCTTTAAATAGAACCTAAGAATTGGCTTTCTTTGGCTGCCATATTATCAACTCATATTGAACTTGAAGTCCATTAAAACCTCCAGATCTTTTTTCAGAATAATTATTTTCTAACCACACCTTCCCTACCATGTACTTATGAAGTCAATCTTCTGAACCCAACTGAAAGACTTTATGAGATTTATACTCGTCGAATTTCATTTCATTAGTTTGAACCTAATGCTCTAGCCTGCAAAGATCTTCCTGGATCCTGGTTTGGTCTTTCAGTGTCAAGTCAAGTCAACAAGCATTTATTAAATGCCTATCATATATCAGGCACTGTGCTAAATCCTAAGGATACAACAAAAGACAAAAACAGTCCTTGATCTCAAGAAACTCATATCCCAGTGGGGGAGTCAACATGCAACCAACTTCTACAAACGAGATACAGAGCAGATAAATTGGAGATAATCACTAGCATTATCAGGGATTGGGGAAGGCCTTGCATGGAAGGTGGGATTTTAGTTGAAACTTGAAATAAACCTGGAGATGAGGTTGGGGGAAGAATTCTAGGCTTGGGAGACAGCTGGTTAAAATGCATGGAGTCAGAGATGGAGTGCTGGGTTTGAAAGACATTAAGAAGACCAATATCACTACATCATAGAGTACATGGAGGAGAATGGAGACAGAAGACAGAAGAAGGGAAGGGTCCAGGTTATGAAGGACTTGAAAAGCAAAGCAGAGGATTTTATATTTGATACTGAAAATGAGAAGGAGCCGTGAGAGTCCCTATTCTATAAGATACCCTCATGGATATGTGATCCATTGGTCAAAATATTAGAAAGAAGGAAGAAGGAAGGAAGGAAAGAGAAAAGGAAGAAAGAGGAAAGAAGGAAAAGTAGAAGAAAAAGAAAGAAATTTCTATAGTGCTCTACTTACATTTTCTTATTTCAATGTCAGTCAACCAGTCAATAAGCATTTATTAAGCCTCTATTATATACCAAGCACTCTACTAAATTCTAGGGATACAAAGAGAGACCAAAAAAAAATCCAGTAACCCTATATCTAATGGAGGTGACAACATGTAAACAGTTTTGTACATGCAAAAAATCTGTATATCACAATAACCCTGTTAAGTGGATACCATCAGTATTATGATCTCCATTTTCCAATTGAAGAACTTAGACACGTTAAGTGATTTGCCCATGGTCCCACAAAATTAAGTTTCAGAGGGAGAAATTGAATCCAAGTCAATGAATCCATTACAATTCCACCACCGCTTATTATACCCTCTAACGTTTGGATCATTGTAGGCACACGCTTTCTGAGAGCAAATAAGATAATAACATGTGCAAATCATGTTACAAACCTTCAAGTGCTACGTAAACAGAAAATATGGTCATGTATCATTTAATGTAATGTGTCAATGTATATAATACAGTAATATATGGAATTAGTAGTTCCTCTCACTTTGGCTACCTGACTATACCATACAATCTAAATCTTAATTTCATGTAAGTATGAAGATAAGTGACTAATTCATGAGTTCAACATCCTACTTGGAAAATTTGGGACAAGAACATCATTTTGTTCTGCTGGGCTGCTTTCTGCCTTTGCCTGTGTCCCCAGGGGGAAAAAAGTACTTGTTGGATTTCCTAAGTCATTTTAGTCCATGACCCAGTACAAATGAATCTCCTTTTACCTGGTTAGAAATCAGATCACTTTACCCTGATTCCATCCTGTCTCCATTTCAATGGTAGTAAAAACCCCCGAAACTTTCCAGGACATTGCTGGAGGTCTCAAGAATGAGGCCTTTCTGTGAGGCTGAGTGGTTTCATTCATAGCCTGTGGTTTTGATGATCTATTTAGAAGAAAGTGCATCTTTAGGCTGAGCTATCTGAATAGTTGAATGCTCAGCCCCACACTGTAGATGGTCAGGAAAAAGACAGGACTTGAGGACCAAAAAGCTTTGATTCTACTCAAGGCTTAGGCTCTTACTAGCTCCCTGACTCTGAACAAGTTACTTAATTTCCAAGTCCTCATTTCTGAGTCAAAACTAGGGCAAGATGACTGGGTTTTTGCACCAGGGTGAAAAATTTGAAGAGCACTGGAATTAGAGAGAGAGGTTCATACTTTTCTTAGCAAACTAGAAACAGCATAGCTTAACATCTAGTTTTCAAGCGTCCTTAGCTGGCTGATAAGAAGCTATCAGATAAAAGGTTAGATGAGATTTTTCCCTGCCCTATCTTTTTTTTTTCCCTCCTACCAACCTGGCCCTCAAACTCGGGGTATTAGTGCTATTTGTGTCATTGCCTGGGGAATAAAAGTTCCTAGCTATTCCTAGCTTGTTGTATGTCCTTCCTTCTTGAAGAGGATCGTGACATCAGGAAGGTGATGCCATGATTTCCAAGTGAATTCAAATGAAGTGAGGAAGGGTTATGCAAAGTCACCAGGCCCACTCTCTCCTCTGGAGCCATGTGGGTCCAGTGGCAAGATATACATCAGGTTGACTGGAAATGGCCCAAGATACAGTGGGAGACCTTGGTCTTTTTGAGCTAATGTCTTGCCCAGGTCCCAGTTTGTCTGAGGCAGCATCCTTTCAGTATGGAAGACTAAGTGAGAAATGAGGCAAAAAAAAAAAGACTTCTTTTACTTACTCAAAAAAAAAATCTTCCTTTCTTCAAGCCAAATGCTGTATTCACTGTGCCACCTAACTGGTTCAGAAACCATCTAGTCTAAACCTCACATTTTACAGAGAAGGAAACTGAGGCCCAGATGAGTTAAGTGACTTGTCCAAGTTCACATAGATAGTAAGATTTGGGATTTGAACCAAGATCCATGAACTTTAAAGTCAGTGCTCCTCAAAAAACACAAAGCGCTTAGGATGTGTGGAGGGGAGAGACAGCCTGGTATAATGAAGTGAGTATCGAAATCAGGAAGACCTGTTCTGCTCCTACGCACACATAAGTTTTGACATGTGTAGAGACATGTTCTAGGCTCTGGATGCAGGGTTAACCAAATAGATTAAAGGTGATTTGTGAGAAAGAGTACTAGCAGCTGGAGGGATTTGGAAGAGGCACCATGTGCAAGGTGATATTTGAGTTGTTGGGAAGGAAACTAGGTATTCTAAGAGGCAGAGGTGAGGAAGGAATGCATTCCAGGCATGAGGGACAGTCAATTCAAAGGCATGGTGATTGGAAATGAAGTACCATGTATGAAGAACAGTAAAAGGGGCAGCCAGGTGGTGCAGTATATAGAGCACGGGCCCTGGAGTCAGGAGGACCTGAGTTCAAATCTGGCCTTACCAGTTGTGTGACCCTGGGCAAGTCACTTAACCCTGATTGACTCAAATAAAAAGGGGGGGAAGAGCAGTTAGGTGGCATTGTAGATAGAGCACCGGCTCTGGATTCAAGAGGACCTGAGTTCAAATCTGGACTCAGACACATAACTCTAGCTATGTGACCCTGGGAAAGTCACTTAACCCCATTGCCTAGCCCAAAGAAAAAGAAAAGAACAGTAAAAAGACCTGTTTAGCCTTAGAAAACATGAAGGAGAGGTATGTGTTATAAGTTTAGAAAGATAGATTTCAGCCAAGTTGTGAAAAGCTAGATGCCAAACAGAGAAGTTTACATTTGTCTCTAGAGGTAATAGGGGAGTATTGGAGTTCATTGAACAGGGGAGTGATATGGCCAGATATGTGCTTTACAGATACCATTTGGGATGAGGAAAAGACTCGAGTCAGGGAGACCAATCAGATGGAATGTTGCAATAGGTGTCAAGAGGTGATAAGAGTGATCCAATGTGGATGGGGAGAAGAGAATGCTGGATTGGAGAGATGTGGAGGCAGAAATGCTCAGATTTGACAGCTGAATGGCTAAGGGGATTGCTCCATAAATCAATTTTTTTGGTCTTCTGGCTCGGAATAACAAGGACTGGCAGCTCATGGGTAGAGCACATGTGGAGAAGCAAGATAAGGTAGAGAAAGTAAGATAGGTGAGTCTGGCAGAATCCTGCATGCCAGGAGGATCTGACCTCAGCTCAGTAAGCAACAAGATTTGCTAAGTTCTTGTTACAGAGCTTTGAAACTTCCTTCCCTGGATTTGGATTTTCTTGGTGGTTTTTGGTGTCTTTACATTTTTAGACTGTATGGTGATTGTTTTTCTTCCATAGATACATAGAAATAACAAATTGTTTCTCCAAAACTTGTCACTGATTTTGATCCAAAATCGGTAGTAGTAAAAGAATGTAGGACTAAACATTTTTATTGACTACCTATATATTTGGAAATATTTCTGAAGTGTTTCTATAAATAAGTACTTTCATCCCAAAGAGATTTTTTTGGGGGGAGGCAATTGTGGTTAAGTGACTTGCCCAGGGTCACACAGCTAGTAAGTGTTTAAGGCCGGATTTGAACTCAGGTCCTCCTGACCACAAGGCTAGTGCTCTATCCACTGTGCCACCTAGCTGCCGTAAAAGAAATTAATTTTAAAAGGCTACAAAATTAAGAAATATTTGAACTAGTGTTGGTCAATAGCTTTGAGCCTGAACAATACAGCCTCCAAAGCAGGGGAAATGTTACTAACCGAAGGGCAACGGAGGGGTACATTGTAGGTGTGAGTAGGCTGCATCCCATTTTCATTTTTATTTTTTGTTAGGCAGTGGGGTTAAGTGACTTCCCGAGGGTCACACAGCTAGTGTCAAGTGTCTGAGGCTGGATTTGAACTCAGGTCCTCCTGACTCCAGGGCCTGTGTTCTATCCACTGTGCCACCTAGCTGCCCCCGTGTACCATTTTAAAAAGGAGTTACAAAGTAAGACTGGGACAAAAGGTATCATCAAAGTAATATTTGAACAGAGAAGAAGAGAGACTGAAAGCTTGCATGTTCTATGAGTATTCTCATGATGTCAAGAGGAACATGTTGGATATGACCATCTATGAAAGGATAATGACAGGAGTCAATGTGGGATGAGCAAGAATGGATGGATTGCTATCTGTGTCACTGGAGGGAGTGCCTGAACTGAGATGTGAGACAGAGATGAGAGAGAACTGAGATGATAGAAAATAACAGAAAAAAACCCAAGACTGTATATTTGGATGATCTCAATAGAAAAAGTATAACAAGTAAATTGGCAAAAAACCACTCCAAACAACCAATATTCTCATTATTTAACCCAGGAGTTCTTTAATCCTGGGTCCATGAGTGGTTTTTTTTTATATTTTGATAACCTTTTCAAATAATTGGCTTCCTTTGTAACTCTGTATTTTAACTTCTGCATTTAAAAATATGATTCTGAGAAGGGGTCTATAAACTTTACAGGATTGTCAACAGGGTCCATGACAGAAAAAAGGAGTCCCTGGTTTAATTAGAGGCTTGTGTGTGTGTGTGTGTGTGTGTGTGTGTGTGTGTGTGTGTATGTATGTTTGCTCTGTAGCCTGTGTTGGGGCCAAAGACTGAGGATGATTAAGCCCAATATCATGGGAGGGCGATAAGCAAATTCGTGAAATCAGAATTTTGTTTAAGCTGCCGTGAAGAAGGATAACTTTTTGGCTGGTCGGACCCTATTCCTTCCTTACCTCAGCCTCTGTGGAAAAAAAAAATGACAGTCTCTGATTCTTCTTACTACATATGTTAGCGATTCTCAAGCTATGGAGGAACTTTAGAGATGATCTGGTTCAAACCCCTTATTTAATAGATGAAAAGTAAAAGGTCCAGAGAAGTCGAAGGAACTGGGAAATTCAAATGAATTCTCACTTGCAAGCAACACTATTAATGACAATAAAGGTGGAAAAGCTTAGTCTAAACAAACACATAATTAGAGTTGACATAGCATAAAAAAGACCCCAATTAATGAATGTGTTAATTCTCCTTTTTGTTGCTGAAATATACCAAATTATAAAAAAGGAAGAATATGAAAATTTATATTATCATAGATTCTTGAAACTAGAAGAGATGTCAGAAGTGATTTATTCCAACTCTTACCTAAAATATGGACTTCCAGACCACATCGAGAGGGAATCCATGACCTCACAAGGTGACCTACTCTGGTTTTCTTCAGGGAATTTTGTTTCTATTAATTCAAACTCTACAACCGTGAGACTTCCACCTGGGAAAGCCTTGGGTCCTAGCCCTCTGTGTCTAAAAGGAAAAAAAAAAGAGTCTAACCTTTCTTCCCTATGCAGACCTTTTGAAGACAGTGACCGTATTCCTATTCTCTCTAATGCTTCTCTTTTCCATATGAAACATCTCCAGGTCTTGAAAATGATCTTCACATGGTCTGGTTTCACATGTTGTCACCATCTTAATTCCCCTTCTCTGTACACACAGTGCCTTTCTTAAAATAGCACAACCAGAATTGAACATAATTTTCAAGGTGTGGTCTTGCCAGGACAAAGTACAGTTGTTCTATCATTTCCTGGCCTGTCCTCTATTTGGAGCAGGGTCAGGCTCCGCTTTTTCCATGTTCTTCAGTTCATTAAATTTACATTGCAGTGCTTCTGGGGAAATTGCCTAAGGCTTAGGTTTTTGTTAATGACAGACCTCTCCAAAAGCAGAAGTAAAAAGGTATTTTATAATACAATACAAAGGTAATTTACGATAAATTTTACAGTGTAAACTGGCTATGGGACAGGTATTTGTTTTCTACACAGAAAAGACTCACAGCTTTCATGATCAGAAAAACAGGATTTGGTGCCTTAACTTTTAACTACAGTTATACTCTCCTAGGAGGTTAATATCAAAACATCATCACAACAGAAAATAGTTTGTAGGACTGCTGAATAGGTATTGTTACATTTCGTCTTGGTTCTATACTGTCCAAACAACTCCTGGTCCATATCTTTTGGCAAAATGTCCAGACTGAGACCCATCCTCTTCATTAGGGAGGGAGTGCTCTATCAATAGAAACTGAGTAGACTCAAGTGATATCTATTAGCCTTTCCATTATCTTTGATTATGTAAAAGTAGGTATTTCTCCATATCATTGCCATTTAAAAAATCAGTATATATATTGAATCAGAAGTACTCAGACCAAATTGAAGTGACCACTCCTTAGATGAAGCAAGATGGTTAGATATTTAATATTTAATCATTCAATTTTCTAATTACTACTCAGATATTTCATTGTGATTGAGAACATCAATGTCTTTTTATTTTTTGTGTTTATTGTATTTGACAAGTTATTCATGATTTTAATTACACTATTAATTAGTTAATTCAGTGTCACTAAACTCAGTTCCTATGGTCTGCATTCCTTACTGATAAGAACAGAGATATCTTTGTAGAAATATGCTCATGCTCCTCTCTCCCAGCCAGCACTTTCCTCCCATCATTTAATATCTTCTCTCTCCATTTCAAGACCCACAGGGGGGTTGGCCTAATGACCTCTGCAGCTGTCAACTATTTCAGAAGTCAATCTTTGAGCTGCCATCCCAGACCCCAAGGAGGATACCAGCCTCCTTTCCATGCCATGCCAGAGCAGCCTGCCAGGCATGGCTGACCAAGCCCTAATGCACAACTTTTCACTTCTCACTCAACTTAAACCAGATGCAGCTATGGGCATTTTTATATGACATTCATATGTACTCATGTGAAAACGTATTCTTCCTATGCTTCTCTTTAGCTTAACTTGGAGATTGATTTGTTTTCTTTGACTTGTGGGCAGAGAGAGAGAAGTCTACCAGAACTACTCAAGAAAATTGAATTCGAAGAATAGACTGGACCATTAAACTTAGGAGTGGGTGATGGATGTTTTCGTTTTGTGAGCTAAAAAAAAATGTATTTTTAAAAATGTGGACTCTGCCTGAAGTTAGCTGGTTTGACTAGGCGACGTCCCAGATGACCTTTGAAGTTTCTGTTCAGCTTTACAGCTCTGAGCATGTTCTCCATGGCACTCTGTCTCAGTAACAAGGATAGATGATTTTTAAGGGAGCCAGCCAATTTTCATGGTGCCAGACCAAAGGGCAGAGCATTTCCCAATGCCTTCTGAGTCAATAGCCATGCACTGTGGAGTTGTTGTCCCTTACCTTGTTCTATAATAACAATAACTGGCATTTATGCAACATACTTTGTGTACAATACTCATACAAGCCTCACTACACCCCTGGTCAGCTAGGTACCACCCATATTATTCTTTGTTTGCTAAAGATAGGAAACTAAGCCTTAGAGAAGGTAAGTAACCTGCCCAAGGTGACATGGCTAGTTAGCGGGATTTGGACCCTGGTCTTCCTGATTCCAAATACAGCCCTCTGGTCCCTGTGCCATGGATACGTCTCATAATAATAGCTAGTATTTATTTAACATTTTAAGGTTACTCAATCCTTTCTTTCCATTTCCTCTAAGCTCCTTATACCTTGCTCATCCTTCTTTAACATAAAGTTAGAGTTGGAAGAGACCTTAACAACCATTGAGTCTAATGTCTTCATTTTGCAGATGAGGAAACTGAGGCACAGAGAGGTTCTTACTCAGGGTCATACGTCTAGCACATATCTGAGGTAGGATTTGAATCCAGGTCTTCCTGAGTCCAGGCCCAATGCTCTACACACAAAATCATTTTGCTCTGATACATCCGTTATTTCATCTCTTTCTGGCTCCATTTCATACTTCACTTCACAAACTCTATGTTCCATCTAAATTGAGCTAGAAGCTGTCCCCTAAACTTGGTATTTTGCCACTCAATCAAGCCACCGACAAGCATATATTATGCATGTACTGTCTCTCAGGCCGTGTGCTCAGTGCCAGGGACAGAAAGATAAAAAAGTCGAAACCATCCTTGCCCTTCAGTATCATACATTCTAGTAGGGAGACACTACACATCTAAGAAGTGGGAGACCAGGGAAGAGAATTTTATTCTGGATAGTGACAGGGATGGTGAGAAAAGCCACTGGGCTATTGATTGTCATCTGCTTTCTGTGGTAGTATTAATTTTATTATTTTAATATATTTAATTTATAATTAATTCATTATTGTTCCCAGGTTCCCAAAGCAAAACAGGGGGAGGGGAGGGGTACGCTCAGAACAAGGAAATAAAAAAATCAGAAAGTAAAAAGCCAACACATAAATCTCCAAAGGCACTCACAATAGGGATTGTTCTTCCAGTTCTTATGAAGACGTTACTCCAAAAACTTTTATCTGGAGTCTAAATTCCCTGTCGCTCACAGGATAAGGGATGTGTTTCTCCCTTTGTCCTTCCTCTCTCCTCTCCTCTCCTTCCTCTCCCTACCTCCATTTTCCACCAATCTTCATCTTCATAGATTTTGGGCAGCCTGTCAGCTTCTCAGTGAGACTCCAAGTCTCTAGAGAGCCTGTCATTCCCTCATCAGTCATTTGTTTTCTTTGACCTGTGGGTGAGTTTGTCTGTCTCAGTACAAGATAAGGGCAAAAAAAGCTAAGTTTTTTCTTCTCCCCTGACTGTCTCAGCTCTCCTGGTATAGGCATCATCCTCTTTATTAACTCCATTTAAAGTATAGAATATTGAGGAAACAATATGAAACTTCCCTTAGGGTGGATCACTGTTTGAGTGAATGGGAGAAGGAATAGTTTCCATATTGGCTTTGTAATAATAATTACTGATATTTACTAGAGTTTTTAAAGTTTGGGAAAGGCTGTACTGACATCAGCTCTTTTGAGCTTTACAACAACTTTCTAAAGTAGGCAGCACAAATATTATTACCCCCATTTCACTGATGAGGATGATTTCACCATGGTTGCTCAAGTGGTGAGTGTCAAAGCTAAAATTGGAATGCAGGTCTGACTTCAAGTTTGGAAATATGTGCTCTACCACACAGGGTTTTTAAAACACAAAGAAAACTTTATGAGAGAGGATATGATTCAATGCCAAAATACCTAGCCCAGAGGCTAGTTCTCTCTTCATTACCCCACACTTCTAACTTCATAGAGAGACATTCTTATTGTTCACTCATGTCCAACTCTTTGTGACCTCATGGACCTTCTATCCTCCATGCACGCCAGGATCTTCTATCCTGCACTCTTTCCCAAAGTCTCTCCGATCTCATTTTCATTGCTTCCATGATACTATCTATCCATCTTTTCCTCTGCTTCTCCTTTTGCCTTTGATCTTTCCCAACATCAAGGTCTTTTCCAATGAATCCTTTCTTCTTCCTACGTTGCCTAAGTATTTAAGGCTCAGCTTAAATTTGACCTTCCAGTGAATAGTCTGAGTTAATCTCTTTAAGTATTGACTCATATGATCTCCTTGCTGTCCAAGGGACTCCCAAAAGTCTTCTCCACAACTTGAAAGCATCAATTCTGTAGTGCTCAGCTTTCCTCGTAGTCCAACTCTCACAGCCATGCATTGCTGCTGGAAAAACCATAGTCTCAACTATACAGACCTTTGTCCTCCAGGTGATGTCTCTGCTTTTTAATGTGCTGTCCAAATGTCAAATATTGCAGGAGTTCAGAGATCACTGAGGACTGGAGTGGCCAGGGAAGGGTTTTTTGGAGAGACAGAAGTCAAGTTGGGCCTTGAAGGATAGGTAAAATTTAAATAAATGCAGTGGATGAGAGAAGAGTATTGTAGGTAAGGAGGCAGTAAAATGAGTAGTAATCTTGGAATCAGGGAACCTAGGTGCTGGTCTTTGCCACTGATGTTTACCACCTGTGAGACCTTGGGAAAGGGAAAAGGAAGGGAATAAGCATTCATATAGCACACGCTATACAAAGTCCTATAATAATAGCTAATTAATAATAAGAGCTAACATTTATATAGTACTTCTTATGTGACAAGTACAATTCACAATTCTTATCTCATCACAACAACCCTGTGAGGTAGGTGCTTTTATTATCCCCATTTTACAGATGAGGAAACTGAGGCACAGGGACACTGAGTGACTTGCCCAGGGTCACACAGCTAGTAAGAGTCTGAGGCCCAATTTGAACTCAGGTCTTCCTGACTCCACTCCCAGGGCTCAATCCCCTGTGTTTCTCCTAGCCTCAGTCCCAGCTCAGGGAGCTGGACCAGATGACTTCTGAAGTCCCTTCCTTGGAGAGACTACACCAGAATGAAGGCTCAAGCTATAGCATTCTAGAAACAGCCCTGCTCAGAAGTGCCCCTAGAATCCTGGCGAAGAGCTACAGCTAACCTTGGGCCCCTGGTTTGGCAGCACAATTGTAAGTAAATATTATTGTTGTTGTTCATCTTTGGTACTTGACGAGCACCAAAATGACATCATGGTGTTGGGGTCAAGGGACAGTTTGTCCGACTGCGGCTGATCAGACCAATACGAGCTCGGAATGCTCTACCACAGGTTGGACACAAATAGTCCACGTGAATATTTGGGCTGAAAATGAAGTAAATATAAATAAATGAAGATGGAGTAAATATAAATGAAGTCAGACTCTCTCTCTCTCTCTCTTTCTCTCTCTCTCTCTCTCTCTCTCTCTCTCTCTCTCTCTCTCTCTCTCTCCCCCTCTTTCTTCTCCCCTCCCCTCCCCTCCCCTCCCTCCCTCCCCTCCCCTCCTCTTCTCTTCTCTTCTCTTCTCTTCTCTTCTTCTCTTCTCTTCTCTTCTCTTCTCTTCTCTTCTCTTCTCTTCTCTTCTCTTCTCTTCTCTTCTCTTCTCTTCTCTTGCCTTCTCTTCCCTTCTCTTCCCTTCTCTTCTCTTCTCTTCTCTTCTCTTCTCTTCTCTTCTCTTCTCTTCTCTTCTCTTCTCTTCTCTTCTCTTCTCTTCTCTTCTCTCTCTCCCTCTCCTCTCTCATCCCTCTTCTCTGTTCTCTTTCTTCTTTCTCAGTCTCTATGTCCATCTTTGTCTCTCTTTTGTCTCTCTCTATCTTCCTTTCTGTCTCTTCTTTTTTTCTCTTCTCTGTCTCTCTGAACATTCACATATATGTATATATACATATGTATGTATATACATATACTGCATTCACACATGTGATACATACATATATAGATGTGTGTGTGTACACACTGGAGCCCAGGGAAGTTAAGTGACTTGCCCACAGACACACAGGCAGTAGAGGCAATAGAGGCAAAGGTTAGAATCCAGGCCCTCACTCTGGAGCCGACTACTCGTTCCACTGTCTCCTTACATTTACTGTTGCCTGAAATAGCATCTGGAGGCCATTGATGGGTCAGTGTAAGTCTCTGGCTCAAAAGAGTAGACAAGGTGGTGATTCTCCTTCCTTTGAGGTCTTCAAGCAAAAGGCAGAAGACCATCTATTGGATGTGCCATTGTGAGAATTCCTTTTATGTGGCACAGAAGTTCCAACCTAGAGAAAGGGTATGAGAAGCTTGTCAAGGGGGTGGGAGACATCTTTGGTAAATAGCTATATTATCCTACTGAAAAATTCTAGAAACTCCAAATTGTTTTCCAATCAATGAAGTTGGTTTTTTTTAATTTGGTTTACTTCTGGAATTGAAAATTTATTTAGTCTCCTTATTTTATACATCATGGACAAATGCATGGCACACTTTAGAATTTATTTCCTTTCATATTAGTACAAAGGGTCAAAGGACCAAAAAATTGATGAGGAAAAATGACTGGAAAACACCCCCACCCCCATACATAGGTTAGGGTCCCACAGCTCTTAGAGTCTGAGGCCAGACTTGAACTCAGGAAGATCCTTTCGACTTGCAAATTGCATGCATCAGTGAGAATAAGTAAAATGTCCAAAGCTGCTGAATTCAGTTCTCCTCTATTTTTTAACTCATTGTGCTCTACACACCTTCTCACCTGTTGCTTCACATTGCTCCAGCCCCAGTCCCATTTGCAGGTTGCTTTATGGTCACATTCTCAACTTTTCATAAAGGACAAATGTCCTTCTCTCATACTGCTTGACCATTTGGCTCTGAATACTGAAAAGTCCTTGGATAGAACTCTAGGCACAATGCCAAGAGTTACTCACCAAAAATGTTTGTCATTGTCTTGAAGGATAATAGAAGAGGGATTCTAAATAAGTGGTGGAATCTTCCAGATTGACCTTGTCTACAAATGATCTTTTGCTCATTGCATCAAACTTTAGAATACCAGGGGACTTCCTAAATGAGAGCTATGATGACTTCAAAGAGACAAGTTTAACAATCCACATAGGATAAGGCAAGTGGATGAAAAATGCCAATTATCTAGACTATTATATGCATTTGATTGGGCAAGTCATTGAATGAATATGTAAACGCAAAAATCTTAGGCAATATAAATGGTCAATGAGCTAGGCCTTGAATTGAATAAGAAGAAGAATATAATCTGGATTACATTTGAGAAATAGTCTTGTTTTTCTATCAATTCCAAGTCACTTTCTAATACAAAACTCACCTTTTTAAAAAATATATACTAGAAAGTCAAACAAGCATTTTTTTAGTGTGCTAAACACTGGGGATTCAAAGAAAGGTAAAAACACAATTCCTTCCCTCAAGGAGCTTATGTTCTAATGCGGCAGACATGGTTAAATCATGGAACTTGAAAACTAAATTTTTGCACATGGTAATATTCTCCCATTGATGCCATAGGGCAGAAAATAGAAGAAAACATTTTTGCATTTTGTTTTGGTTTTCGTTTCATAAAACAGATCGTGTTATGAGACACAAGCCTGTTTTCCAGATGGTGCCTTTCAGCTACCCCTCACCCGCTCATCTTTATGGGGCAGCAGCTGTGCCTTCATGATTCACTCTCAAAACATCATTCTTTGCATGTAAAACTGATGTTTCCAGCCACAGTTACTATTACTGCATCTGGGAGCAGGCAACAAGATGAGCGTGGACAATCAGACTTTCCACCCTGCCTGTCAATGAAGGCTGCCCTATATCTGAGCTGTTATTGTTATTAGCAGAGTCCCATGCTTACAGCTTCCTTCTGACTCGTGGTCTTGCCCAGCCCCCTTCACATTCAAAAAGTTGTCCCACTTTTGATTTCTCCATTCAAAAAGCCACATCACTTTTGATTGTGGCATTCATAATATTATCCCACTTTTGATATCTCCATTCAAAAAATCCTGCTTTTTATTTCTCCATTCAAAAAAAAATACCACTTTGATTTCTCCATTCAAAGAAATATCCCACTTATGATTTCTTTATTCAAAAAGCCACATCACTTTGGATTTTGGCATTCGAAACACCATCCCACTTTTGATTTCTCCAAAGTCCTCTTATTTATCTTCCTCCATTCAAATAGCCATCCCACTTATGATTTCTTTATTCAAAAAACCATCCCAGTTTTTATTTCTCCATTGAAATAGCCATCCCACTTTAGATGTCTCCAATCAAAAAGCCATCCATCCCACTTCTGATTTCTTTATTCAAAAAGCCACATCATTTTGGATTTTTGCCATTCAGAATACCATCCTACTTTTGATGTCTCCACTCAAAAAAGCCATCCATCCCACTTTTGATTTCTACAAGCCAGGCCTATTGTTGCTCCTCGAAAGCAGAAAGCCCCAGTCCAGCACCACGTGAAGCTACACTTTAGGATAGTCTTGAGAGAAAGAGCTATGTTTCACACCTCTAGGCTGGTTGGCTAAGTAACAGGTGGTTAGAGTGTTTCTACTTTTCACCTTCTTAATGTGTCCTAACTGAAAGAACACTGACTCTAGAGCCACAAAGGCCTAGGTTCAAATCTCATTTTTGCTTTTTTTTTTTGACTTGAATGACCTTAGGTAAGTCACATACCCTCCCTGAACTTCAGTTTCTTAACCTGTAAAACAAAGAAATTGAAATACAACTCCAGAGCACCAGTGATGAAGCATGTAACTCATTCCCAATGGAAATGTCTCCACTCAAAAATACATTTCTGAACATGGTCGTTGTATGGATTCATTTTGTTTGACTATGTTATGAGGATTTTGTTTTCCTATTTGTTTTCAGTGATAGGGGTTGGGTGGAAGGGGAAGGATAATAGATTTTTGTTAATTGAAAAAAAATTAATTAGAAAAAATAAAGGGGTTAGACTAGATGACCTCAGAGTTCACTTCCAGCTCTTAAATCTTATGGTTGCCTTCCTCAAGTTTATCGTAAAGTGGCCAAAATCAAGTTTAGGCATCACGTCTTCCTTTGACCTTCATCTCAGTCACACAGCAGCTGCTGAACAGACATACAAACATACTCAGTTCTACCCTCTCCAGCGGCATGTTGGTTATGCTGACTTGCTGTTCTTTTTCAATGACTGTTAGTCCATGACCACACGGTGTTGCTACCATCTGCTATCGCTATTTGGGGACCTAAGAGACGTTTTTGACATACAATCAGATCAACTAAATATATGATGAACTCAATAGACCATTGTTTGTCACATTTAAGGAAAGCCTTTGTGGCTTAGCTGGTGATACTCAGAGCTAGGAGCATAGAGAAAGAAATAAAGATTACAAAGGAAGGATGCTCATGAATTACCCTCCTCCTTCTCCCCACACCTTGGAAACGGGGGAAAGAGGGCTGACTCAGGAGCTTGCCAGAGATTCAAATCCTTCTTCTGATTCTTAATACCTGTGTGACCTTCTGCCAAGTCATTGAAACTCCAGGGTCTCAGTTTCCTCGTCTGTTAAATGAGCAAATGAACCAGATGGACTTTGAGATTCCTTCCAGTTCTGTCTCTATGATCCTATGAAGGTTTTTCTTAAACCTTCTGAGGAAAAAGAAAAGGGTGTTACCAGAGCCTCAGATACAATGGTCCTTAGGCTAATAACAGAAGAAAGGGGAAAGTCTTAGTGGTTTGGAAAAAATCTGCTTCCTGTATTGAGGTCATCCTGACACTAAGTTGTGAATACCCCTCCTAGTTTTTTTTCTTTCTTCCTTTCTTTCTCTCTTTCTTTCTTTCTTTCTTTCTTTCTTTCTTTCTTTCTTTCTTTCTTTCTTTCTTTCTTTCTTTCTTTCTTTCCTTCTTTCCTTCTTCCCTCCTTCCCTCCTTCCCTCCTTCCCTCCTTCCCTCCTTCCCTCCTTCCCTCCTTCCCTCCTTCCTTCCTTCCTTCCTTCCTTCCTTCCTTCCTTCCTTCCTTCCTTCCTTCCTTCCTTCCTTCCTTCCTTCCTTCCTTCCTCCCTTCCTTCCTTTCTTTCTTTCCTCTGTTTTTTTTTGGGGGGGTAGTCAGGGTTAGGTAACTTGCCCAAGGTCATATAACTAGTAAGTATCTGAGGCCAATTTGAACTCAGTTCCTCCTGATTCCAGGGCCATTTATCCACTGCACACCT